CCTCGGCTAGGAGGCAGCGGGAGCACGTGCCGGCGTGTGACTCGCGCTTCCTGCTCACCTCTGAGTCAGAACCTTCCTGGATGAAACGGCCATGACCGCCGCATGCAAATAAAAATGAAGTCCACAGTGAAACAGACTGAGCCCCGGCGATGGAACCCTCGAGCCGCTGTAGAAGCAATGTCAGTTCATACGAGGTTCTTAATTTTCTTTAAGATTTGGTTTATTTATTTGACAGAGAGAGTGAGGGCGAGAACACAAGCAGAGAGAGAGGAGGAAGCAGGCTCCCCGCCGAGCAGGGAGCCCGATGCGGGGCTCGATCCCGGGACCCTGAGGCCATGACCTGAGCTGAAGGCAGACGCTTCACCAACGGAGCCGCCCAGGAGCCCAACATTCTCGGTTTTCTAAGTCACTACAAGAGCACCTTGGAACTGATTGTAGCTGAAAGGCCTCTGTGGGTGCAACATGGTGTCGTGTGACCAGAGTGGGGCGGCCTGTCCCAGGCTGGGACTGACCAGGGGCTCCTCTAGTAGGTCCGAAACTCCCACGTCCATTAGCAGGCCTCCGCTTGTGTAAGCTACCTTACTGACACAACCTCCTCACTGCACTCAGTCATCTGAAAGCACATATAAATCCTAGACAAAGTGTGTTTTATTAATTTGAGAGAGCACGTGCAGTGTGTGCGAGAAGACAAGCTGGGGGGAGGGGCAGGTGCAGAGGGAGTCCAACTGGGGCTGGATCCCAAAACCCTGGGATCGTGATCTGAGCCGAAGGCAGGCGCCCAACCCACCGAGCCCCCCAGGCACCCCAAAGCTAGTTTTCAAAAATAACCAGAAATTAGCTTCCCTCCAAAGCGCGTAATTCCCTTCAAATGCCCTCTTCTGAATATCCCATTTTCAGAAGTCCTCTTCCACAAACGCCAACTGCAGATGTCTCCTGCCCTTTTTAGGACCAAAGACACTATCCTCATAAAAGACCCTAAACCAAGTCTGCTTGGAAGCTCTCTCCCGCGTCCACGGACACCGCCTGGGGGATCACACTAACACGCGCGTGTGGGTGCTGGGAGCGCGGGCGTTCCTGCTTATTCTCCGAAGCTTTTCTCCGGGCCACTGTTTCACAGACAGTGCAGGAAATTCCAGGTCTTCAATCTCCATTTCTGAAAGCTGCTTTGAAGGAGGTTGGGGAAGCAAAATGAGACAACTTATCTGTAAACTGGCAAACTTTTTTCTGGATTTTATAGCTCAACTAACAATATTCTCTTTTGAGGCAGAACTACATACCTATACGGAAAAGTTGTCTTAAAAAAATGGAGCCATTAAAACCTTACTATTCGTTGCTATTAGTCATTCAATTTTCTCTAGCTTACTTGTAGGTAAATGGTAAATTATTTAACATTATATCAAACTTCCCAGATCATGGATTGTAAGCTGTAAACAACCAATTTCTGAAAACACATATTCATTCATGACAATGAATTCTGAATTTGTATTTGAACAGAAGACCACACAATCTTAGTTTATTTGTAGTAAATATGCTTATATGGTTGCTGAAGTTTGGTTTATAATTTAAATTTTAATAAAATTTTACATTTTTATTGGAAAAACTTCCCTCCTGAAAAGGATTCCGTGTATTTCTTTTATTTAAAAATAAACATAAAGCTCACGATTTTGAGCGGGACAAGGAAGAGCGGTCAGGGGAACACCTTCTTTAAAGCTACGAAAAGCTCCCCTGAGCTACTACTCAGCACCTTCTAGACGGTTTACCCTCAAAATGTGTCCGCAGATCATCTGAATGAACGAATGGCTGGTATCAGTGTTTGTTCTCAGTATGACAATATGGTGGACACATACAACGTGTTTTTAGTCTGATTTTGGTCTATAGATCTCGGGACAGAAGAGCCAGGCCTGTGTCTGGAGACAGTAGGCGGAGTATGAGGCACTGTGGCACTCTTTTTAGGGACGGTCACCCTGGGGAGTAGACAGGCCTTCAGTGAGGTGACCGGCTTGTCCGTGCGTGCCCGGACGGGAAGTCCAGAGCAAACTGGGCCAGCTGGTCCCTCCACCTCTGACCCCACTTCTCCGCTGTGGAATGCAGATGAAGTAAGAGGCAACAGTCTCACCATGGTGGAGAGCGTGAAGCTCTCCTCCCGGCACCACAGCTGCCCTTCCACCATCCTGGCTCCCTCCCCATGCATGGCCCCGCATATGCACCCGTCTCTGTGTAAGACGCAGGGGTGCCGTGAAGACCAACTGTTTAGGGTGCAGGGTGCCCTCCAGCAGAGCCCAACACAGTGGCGCTATCATGGGTGCTATTATTCAAGTGGTCAGCCCATTTCCTAGCGATAGCAACAGCTGACAAATGTCTAGAAACGCGGCTTGAAAACTAGAGTAAAAACCAGGATGGAGTTTGAGGCCTCATTGCTCTTCTTTTTCTACGAGTTCTGTGTTGCTTTGTTTAGTGAGCAATTAAGAAATCGAGACCCACGCGGTATTTGCCAGTCCAAAGGGGCTGTCGGAGGAGGGCGTAAGAGCAGGTGGGCGGCTGCCTCACGGCTGCACTTGCCCAGGAGCCTGCTAGGGCCCTCGCCTGGGCCACCACCTCTGCGAGCAAGACAAGGTGGGTGAAGGGCCAGCTGCGGCCCAGCATTTCCAGAAGTCGCACCCCAGAACTTCTTAAAGAACAAGAACCACATGGACTTTTGCAAGGACACTGAACTGACCTGAATTTGAGGAAAGGAGGACGTGCACCCAACACCAACGAGGCCGGGTGGCACCAGCACTTTCCTGATGTGGAACGTCCCAGAAGAGCTCTGGAAAACCATCTCTGCCCAGAAATGCGAGTCCAGTGTGGCGGTACAGCAGCTATGCAGGTCTCTGTTTCTGGGGTTGTCTGGTGGCGTGTGGACAAGGGTCTTCCGGCTCCCCACTGGCTTTCCGGGACCAGACCGGCTTCTTCACGGCTCGTCTCTGCTTGGTCTCCGTGACGGGGGTGAAGGGAGAGCCGGCGTCCACGCTATGGACCAGCTCCTCCTCTGCAACTGCGGCACCACGCGGGGACTGCAGCCAGCACCGTCCCTGGGCGCGGCCCTGGGCTCCTGCCTGCCTGGGCTGTGGGGCCCAGCCCTGCACGCTCCCAGCCGGTGCCGCCTGCCGTCAGGGGTTCGCCCCCGGGCCCGTGTCACAGAAGCAGCTAAGGGCAGCCCCTCCCCACAACCCTGTGGCCATCGACCTGCCTTCTGCGCCGCAGTGCTCTGGGCCTCCTCCAGCCTCCCGCTGCGTTCCAGCCCACGCCTCTGCCCTTCCCAGGCCATCCACTGGTGGCTTTTCGACGAGAACGTTCGTGAGCCCTCAGGTGAGGCGGAGACCCAAGACGTCGCGTCCAGATCCCTCAGCTGCGTGAGAAGCCGCCGTTCCGTGATTACGGGAAGCGGACCGACGGGCCTCCCGAGAGGGTCTGACCAGGAGGCACAGTCCCTGGGGGAGGCGGCATGCTGATGGAAGGGGCGGCGGGGGGAGCGATCAAAGGAGCGTCCACCAGCGAAGCGACCAGCGCGACACCCAGCACACGGACCCTGCCCGGCGCAGCCTCGACACAGGCAAGCTCGTGGCCACCCGACATCCGCTTCGACCGCTGGAGGCCAACATTACAGAAGCATCAAGAATCTCTAGCCACGTCTCTTGTGAGGACAGAGGTGACTCACTGGCCCTTTTGGGTTATGCTTTCACGGTGACAAGTAATGTTTTCAGCAAGTAAATGTGGTGTCTATTTCCACATTCAGATTACTCTTGAGTCACAGTGACGTACCTGTTGAAAGAATTAAGCGGTTCTGTTTGCAGTGGTATAACAAATTTTAATTCAAAATAGACACTCTGAAACAATAGGTTAAAAAAAAATAAACTTCAACAAGCTCTTATTGGATTTACAACGGAGCACACCAACAATCACAGACCAGTTTCACAACTGCCTCAAAAATGCACATTATAGCAATTACATGCAAGTATTCTATGTTTTAAAATCCATATGGTGACATCATCTTATTTCCCAGAGACTGTCACATCCTCGGAGTATGCTGGACAGGTGCCTCTGCCGGGTGTGACCAGGAATAGGACTTAAGGTCTACACTGGCTGGTCTCGACTGCTGGTTCTGGGGCTTTGAGTTACTCTGTGTTGGGGAGGGAAAGACCCCGGAGGCTTACCTGCACAAAGGACAGCAACACAGTGGAGATCCTTAACGATGCCACATCCCGTCAAGCCAGACCCCTGGGCTACAGAAAAGCCCATTTCTCCAGAACAAATGTGTTTACCTCTAGGAAAGGGTCACAAGATTTGATACACCAACACAGAGACAGCCCTCCCTCAACTCATTTCGCTTTGTCCCCTGAAAACCCACGTCTGCATTTCAGTTAGTAACACACTCAAGGGTAAAACTTTGATTCCTGAGTAACATGGTCCTTCCCCTTCACTGGTTTTGTCACCTTCCCGGTTAGGAGGAGCGCGTGTGTTCAGCATTTATGCTAAAGGCACTAAAAACTTATTGTCTTACTTTTGAATGGAAAAATGACTTAACACCATATAAAAAGGGGGAGAAGTCTACACCGAAAAGCATTTCTGCACCCACCGAATTGCTTTATTTGTAAAATTACTCTTATGAGCTAAATAACGGGCTTCAGGTTCGGCACAATCTTAACAAAGGAAAACATTTGGTTTTCTAGGATTTATAACAAACCGACAGCTGCGAGGACAACCCTGAAGAAATGTAAATCAACATCATCACCTAGGAGCTAGTACCTTGCGAAGAAGCAACCAGCGTAAGTTAATGCGAATCAGGGAACCCCACGCATCAGCAGGTGTGAACTCGCTTCTCAGCACGGACGCTGGCCACCGGCCGCCGCGCGCGCAGCTCACGGAGGCAGCTCAACGCAGTTACTCAAGTCCCTTCAACGGAGACAGACACAGATTTCCGCTTTCATCCTACCATACGGACACTACTGGGAAACAAGACGTGCATGAACTATCCAAGGATTTAATTTACATGACGGGGAAGAACTAAAAATACTTGTTACAAAATCAACCTGCAGGAAACAATAAATCTGAAAGAACTATCGGCTTCTCTTACGTAGAAGTCTTTCCGAGCACCTGAAATAAATCTACAGAGCAGCATGAAGACCACTGAAGTTGATTAGTTTGACATACAGTGAAGAAAATAACATTTTAAATCTCGATTGAGAAAAACCACTAATTACCTAGTACTTTAGATAGCCTAACTTGTTTTTTTACAGGTTTTGTGGCTCATACTCAAAGTTCAACCTGTGTTTAACATTTTTAAGTTCAGACATATCAAAGCCTAAAAGTACAGAAGGCTTGTGATTTTTTATTGCTTTCATGCAAATGTATCTTCTTTTTCCAAAAAATGAAGCCACGTCGATTTTCCACACCCACAAGAGTGAAGAAAGAAGTTCGATTTCCTTTTTACTAGGATATGGTCTCTTGTGGAAATAGTCTCTAAGAAACTGCTTTTTTTCTTCATATGAACGGTCTTCGTATTTCTTAGGGTTTAAAGCTAAAATCTGAAGCGCGTCTTCACTAACGAGCGGCCCCTCTGTCCTCACCTCACTCCTTTGTCTTTTCAAAGGCACCGCACTCGCCACCTTCTCGGGGGCCGGGGCCGCGTCGCTGCTGACGATGAGAGGTCGCTCCTCCGCCCCCCTCTGCTCTTCCGCCCCAGAGTGGCCGTCGGGCAGCTTTCTCTTCACGGAGAAACTGGAGTCGTGGACCACCTCGCCGTTGACTAAGAGCACTTGGCTGTTCTCGATGAAGCTGGGCTGGACCTGTAGGTCCGAGCTGCTGTCCTTTGGGGCGCTCCGGCAGCGCAGCAGGTGGATGGCGATGGCGGCCAGGGTCATGTTGCCGGTGTAGACCCCACAGCAGTGGATGCACTTGAAAGCCGGAGACTTCAGGATGGTGTGGACCGTCGGTGTGATGTGGTGCCTCTCCTTCAAATGCAATTCATACGCCTCGGTCGTCACCAAGGTGCCAAAGCAAAAGGGACAAGTCAGTGCTTGTTTGCCGGGGCTCCCAGAGGCAGCCTCCGTCTGGGGCCTCACTTTTATATACACGGGCACGAGGGACTTGGAGTGTATCCCAGCCAGCACGGCCAAGTAGACCTCCCGCTCCCCAAGCTCTTCCTTCGGCAATATGGTAATGAAATCAAGATGGGGGAACATCAGGTTGCCGTTAGCGTCGAGATCCAACTGGAAACCTCTGTTGCTATAGTCCACAGGTAGCTTCTTCTTCCCTCGGTGCACAGTCCGACTGTGCTCGGAAAGGCCTCTGATGTCATGGAAAGTGCAGGGACAGAATAAGCAGCCCAGGCCGTGCATTAGCAGGTGATGGATGAGCTCTTCCTCGGACACCAAGCATTTACAAGAGAGACACCGGACTGTCTTCTCTCTCATCCACTTTAAAAACGGGGCACACGCGGCCAGTTTTTCGGGCTCCAGTTTCTCAGCAGCCTTGGACTCGCTGTGCTTGTGAGCCACCTCCATGTGAACCTGGTAGACGTTGGAAGGGAAGAGCTCGTTGCAAACCGGACAGGTTTTCCACTGCTTCGCCTGTTTGAGTGCCTGGCTCGCTTCTGCCGCCGACGGAGAGGCCTGAACGAACATACTCTGGGCGGCGCTGACCACCACCGGAGACGGCATGCTGGCCATGGAGCTGGCCATCTGGGCAGCCGTGCCCGACTGCAGGAGCGGGATGGGCACCTGGGGCGGGGGGACAGTGGCAACGCCTCCCGGAGGCACGGGCAAAGTGACAGACACGGGGGCAAGCGTGTACGTGGGAATCCCATTCACCTGCTTCCCTGTAGGAATGAGCTGTCTGAGAATAGAGCCCGACGTGAGGAACGTGGTGTTCTGAGAAGCGCCCGGTCTCACCGGCTGATTTGCAGGCAGGATGCTGGTGCTCACAGACTGGTTAAGCTGTAGGACCCCAGGTCTCACCGGCTGGCCCACAGGGAGCACACCTGACACAACAGGCTGACTGAGCTGAAGAACCCCAGAATTGACACCCGGGCTCACAGGCAAAACACCTGACGAGACTGTCTGGTTGGGAGAAAGGAGCCCAGGTGGGACCACCTGGCCCGCAGGCAGCACCCTCAGCGGGACCGTCTGGCCGGGAGGGAGAACCCGTGACGGGACCGTCAGCCCAGTGGGGAGAACCCCCGAGGGGGCCGTCTGGCCAATGGGGAGAACCCCTGACTGGACCACCTGGCCAGCAGGAAGAACCCCAGAAGTGGCCGTCTGTCCCGAAGGGATCACTCCAGCAGGGGTCATCTGGCCTGCAGGAAGGACCCCCGATGGGACCGTCCGGCTCACGGAAATCACTCCTGGTGACACTGCCTGGAGAACCCCGGGGGTGACCGACGGATTGACAGGAAGGACGCCAGGCCCGGCAGGCCTGTTGACGGAAAGAACTCCAGGCCCAACAGGCTGGCTAAGGGGTAAAGCCCCAGGGCGGATGGTCTGGTTTATGGGGAGGACGCCAGTTCCAACAGGCTTATTTATAGGTCCCACTGGCTGACTCAAGGGCAACACAGGAGGGTTTGCTGACTGAGTAAGCGGGACTCCACGAGAAAGAAAGACAGGCTGCGGAGCGGAGGGAGGCAGAGGACTGGAGACCAGAGTCACGTGGGACTGAGCCGCGGCGGGCGGGGAATGGGTGAGGCTTGCAGAAGTGCCCGCGGCCACCGTCACTGGCGGGACCGGGCCCTGCACGGGCTGGACCACGGTCTGGCTCTGGCTGCTCTGAGGCAAGGTGAGACGGAAACAAGGGGATGTGGCCGCGAGGCCCGGAGCACTGCCGTTTGGCGGCACAGCCAAAGGGGCCACTGGTTTTGGAGCGATGTGCATTTGCTTCAAAAGTCCAGGCTTCTTAATATGTTCGGAAATCACAGATCTCAGCTTATTCTCCAAATCCCTGTGCGCGTCCGCTGTCAAGATATGATACATCAAAGCGTCCTGGCTGCTGGCCTTGGCACTGCACTTTTTACAGTAATACTTGTCGGACGGGGGCACCTTCTCGGCAGAAAGGCCGTCCTCCGCTTTCGGCTGCTCGCCCGTTTCCTCAGTCCGCAGGCCGAAGTAGGAGCTAATTAAGTAGTGGAAATGAGCCACCAGCACGTGCTTCTTCATGCTGTAGTACAAGGTGTTCGAAAAGTTACACTTTAAACATGTAAAACTTATCACATCACTCCTCGAAGATTTCGTTTCCCCTAAAATATTCACTGTGTAGTTCTGGACTTTCCGAACAGGCGCATGGAACATTCTGAAGTGCCGTCCCACGGTTTTGGGTTGAGAAGAGAACACGCAGTTTGGGCAGGGGATCACCAGCTCCTGGTCGATGTCATCCTCGTGGCACCGGTGTAAGTGAGTCCTGAACGAGGCGAGCGCTTTCGTGGAGTACTTACAGAGGCTGCAACAGTACGGCTTCGTGCGGTATCTCTGTGAAGACAGAACACAGTCAAGCAGACGTCAATAAAAAAGGTCCTACACCCTCCAGAGGTCAAAGCTTAGGGTTCTTCGTCACTGACTGTGCTGGGTAACACGACACAATCACCCCTCTGGGAAGAGTGCTTCTGTGAAACCAGGGCAAGCGCTTTCTTCAAGGACCAGAGAGTAAACGCTGCCTCTACGCCAACTCCTTGGTGTTGCCACCGTGACCCCAAAACTCCCACAAACGACACGCCAACCTAGGAGCGTGGCTCTGCGCCAGTAAAACCACAGACACGAATTCCAAATTCATGGAGTTTTCACGTCACAAAACTACTCACTTCTTTCTTCTCGAGCATCTAAAAATGCACCAGCTATTCCCGGCTGCCGACCGTACACACAGGACCCGGCCCCCCGAGCCTGGCTCCGGACCACTTCCACGCCATCTCCTGAGCCACAGTCTCGTCATCCCAGTACAAGAAATTCACATAGTTCTCTGGGAGAGAAAGTTCATTTCTCCCCTTCTCGTCCCATTTCCCACGGTTCCAATGTTGCTTTCCTTTAGAATTCATCTGCAAATAACCTAACATGCCAATGGTTAAACCTGTCATTACCTTTACTTCCCTCATTCCCAGAGAAGGTAAGAGCCAACCACATGCAGGTGTCCAGTAAACTACGTGACGAATGGGAAGGGGAACAGGGCTGTACCAAAGGCACCACGACAGTCCTGAGGGAGTTCCAGGCCAGATCACAGACAAACAAGGCCAAAGCCCTCTCTAGGGCAAACGGGGGAATTCCACAAGCTTGGAGTATGAGGACACACGTCCGGACAAGAGCCGGCCAGCTAAGAAATGGGATGTTAAACAGCCAAACATTTGCAGGTTTGTGAAGGTTTGAGAGTCACAAAGTCTTTGGTCTCGAGGCTCCAGACCCTAGAGCTGCTGAACCACAGAAAGCCTGGCTCTGGCTTCATGGAGCACAAAGGGAAGACCTGGGCCCACTGAACACTTCACCTAAGGTCCCACCATCGGTGGTAGGAAAGACTTCCTGCGACACTGCTTCTTGCTAGCACAGCGGCTCTCCCCTCCTTCCTAAGCCTGTGCTTCAAGTCCCCCGCCAAGTGTTAACTCAGTGGTTTCTGTCACTCTCTTTCCTATTCATGTGGGTTTCCCTCTTGCCACCAGTCAAGAAATCACCCAAACGTGTTCAAACAACATGGAATTACCATTTCATTCCAGCATTTCTGATAGGGCCTAGAATAAACCTACAGTAACGGCTGATGCTAGACCACAAACTAAAAAAAACAATAACCCATATTTCACTGTTTCTAAAAGACCTTTTTTCCATATTTTTCCCATATCTTACTATCTCAGAAATCTGAATACACCTTACAACTAATACTTCAGTGTTACCAGAGTAACACAGCTTAAATGAAGTATCGCTTTAGCTTTATTAGAAGTTCGTTAGAAAATGGTGTCTCAGAACACGGTCAGTAATTTTGTAGTAACGTATGGTAACACGGTAATTATACTTATCGTGGAGAGCACTGAGAAATGAAAGAGTTACTGAATCACAGCTGTACATCTGAAACTAATACAACACTGTCTGTCAACTATACTTGAATTACGCATTTTTAAGGATTATTTATTATTTAAGTTATCTCAACACCCAACGTGAGGCTCGAATTTACAACCCAGAATGAAGAGCGGCTCCACCAACCTGGCCAGCCAGGCCCCCTATGATACATTTTTCTAAATGGTGTGTTTTACACTCAATGAAATACTAGAGTGAAAAACCAGTTAGTCAATGAAAATTACACTCAATGAAAGAGCCAACAAATTACTAACAGGTGTATGTTACTGTTACCATTGAACAGATCTTTGGGTTAGGGAAAGATGTTTCAAATATGAAAACATAAACATGATCTACACAAGAGAAAATCGATAAACTGGGCCTCATCTAAGAAAGCTTCTACTCTGTGAAAGACACTGTTTAAAAAATAAACAGACAAGCCACCAGCTAGGAGACAGCACTTGCAAACGTCACACCTAATAAAGGACTTGTATCCAGAATACACGTAGGCACGTTCAAGTCTCAACACGAGAAAATAACGCGATTTTTAGCAAATGGGCCAACGATCTGAACCTTCACCAAAGAGGGCCTCTAGAGGCCAAGATGCTCAACATCCTTAGCCACCAGGAAACGGACACCAGAGAAGGGGCCACTACACACCTACTAAAATGGAAACTAAGGGTGAAGCCGTAAGCACCGCAACCCAGCAGAGCCGAGTCCAGCCGGGCCCTGGAGGCAGAGGAACCAGGCCTCCCTCATCGCTGGGGCAGAGCAGAAAGGCACAGCCGCTCTGGAAAACAGCGGGCGGTTTGTTCCAAAGGTGAATGTGTACTTACTTACCACAGGCCTTCCAGCGCGTTCCAGCCCAGGCACTCACCGACGAGAAGTGAAGCCTGTACTGCCCTAAAAGCACGCTGGGAAAGCTCGGGGATGAGCGATCGCTCGGGAGCGGGGCGATGCGGGCAACAGAGGAAGAGCCACGAGCACGGCCAGCGGCGGACCGGCAGGTGGAGGAGGACCGGGGGCTGCCAGAAATCCCGGCCCGGACGCAGCGCCAGCCCCGCCCGTCTGTCCGGCTGCTTCCTCAGGTCCACACTAACAGAGCTCCACAACCGAGGAGCCCCTCAGCAGGTCTCTGTCCCCAGAACCCAAACGTCTAACAAATGTCTGTTCTCTGAGCCCTGGAGGACCTCGCCGCGACACCAGCCGCGCACTTCAGCCTGCGGGCGCTTCCGCCGTCCAGGAACAGAGGGGAAGTGAGGCGCGGTCTCTGCCACACCGGGCAGGGGTGCTTTTACTCAACACAGCACCCAATCAACAAATTCCATCGCTACCACTTCAAACGGTTATTTGACATGAGTTAAAGAAAATAAAACTAGTTCACCTAGTTTCTAGCAGGTACTCCAAAGGTGTTTCTTGGTGAAAAGCTTATAATCGTATATTATACTGCGTTTTACTTTATGGGATCTTCTGAGAATTCAGAAGAGAAAAATCAGTGAGACATAAAAGATTCAAGAAGTCAAGGTCTTCAGAGCAAGGCGTAACGGAGCGGCTACGTGCAGCCACGTGCTGAGTCAAGCAGGAGGACGACGGAATCCAAGTGGTTTCGAGACATCTCGTGTCTGACGGTAGAGAGGGGAGTGCTGGGGCAAGGAGCACAGGAGACCAACGGGTGGGACACAACACAAAGGCAGAAAAGTGGAACTCGGGAGGACGGCTGGCAATAGAAATGTTAAAGGGGCGCCTGGGTGGCTCAGTTGGTTAAGTGTCTTAAGGTAGATGCTTAACTGGCTGAGCGCCAGGCGCCCCACCAGAGATCCGTGTTTTTAATGAGGTTTCTGAAACCAAGATGAACCTTCAGCACATGTAACGACATGGCAATCCCTTTTACTCAGAACAGTTACGAATCCAAGGCCCTTCTTACATGAGTGGCATCTTATGATCAAGGACAAACAGTAGTTTCATTACATCACATTATTAACTTTATACACAGAAAACTCTCAAAGTAACATAAAGCATTTAACTTTTTCTTTCTCCTTCCCTGAATGCTTACATCACAGGCCTCCCCCTTATTCATCAGTGATCCCAGTATGTGATGCTCCTCAGAACTGAAGGGACACGTACCCCCAACTTCTGAGGAAATATAAAAATCAAATACAAAAATACATACCACTTTCTTTCCAGAAGGTTCCCAAAGAGAAATATCTCCCCATGATGTGTTAAAAAAGTACTTCTCTCCTGGATCAAAGCCTTTAAGGTCCTTTTTAAAAACGGAGAAAAAGAGAGATCATTAAGCAATTTCAGAAGGCAATATTTAATAACCTGAAGGCATTATTTAGCACCTATGAAATCCGCATGGGAAACTGAAATGAGAACACAGCCCATGAGCAGACTGTGGCAGAGTACCCATAAAGCAAGAGAGAGGAGGAAAAGGCTGAAACAATCCAATTAAAAATTAAAGTTTTAAATTATAGTTAAATATTACAGTTTTATAAGAACTAGAAGAGATTTCCCACCCATAATTTTTATTTATTTATTTTTAAAAGATGTTATTTATTTGACAGAGAGCGCCACAGCAAGAGCGGGAACACAAGCAGGAGGAGTGGGAGAGGGAGAAGCAGGCTTCTCAGTGGGAGGGAGCCCGGTGCAGGGCTTGAACCCAGGACCCCGGGATCTTGACTTGAGCCGAAGGTAGATCCTTAAGTACTGAGCCACCCGGGTGCCCCTCCCAACAGTAATTTGTAAGAGAGCAAAGCTCAGGAGTGAGCGCGGTCTTCTATCCGTGGTGAGCACGTGGGAAGATGTGCCAGCGAGAGTATAAAGTGGGGCTCCCGGTGGGCGCCTGACCGAGGACACCTGGAGTCCACCCTGCGGAGGACGGCGTGGACAGGGTGTGGCTAACACAACAGAAAGGGGGTGAGAAGGGGGGGTGTTGGACACTGAGAACCAAACAAGCAGACGCAACGGGGTTCACGCTGAGCCCTGGGTTAGACCAACCAAGCGTAAGACGTCTGGAGGAAACTGAGATACGAATATGGACTGGGTGTTAGATAAGAGGACGAGCATTTAATGGACAGAGAAAGATGAAAGTAACTGAAAAGGCAGTGAAAAAGCATGATCAGTGCGAGCTCACTGTGGAGACCACGCACACGCGCGCACACGCGCACACACGCGCGCACGCAAGAAGCTGCTGAACAACAAGACGTTGATCTCTGAATGGCAGGAACGTGGCTTTTTAAATTTTATTTTCTAAAGAAATGACTACCTGTGTTTTCTAACTTTCACAGTTCATACTGCTGTTTAAAGATTTACGATACAGAAAGGAATTAGTTAAGCCAGATACTAATACAACAACTGCATTCAAGTATACCTACACTAATGCGCTGCTTACCAAGTCAATTCAGAACCAGAGAAAAGTACAATTATAAGGATTTAATTTGCAAATAACGTATTCTGAGGTTTGTAACATATAAAGAAATAAAATGCATGGTAACAATAACACAAAGGCCGGAATGGGAAACAAAAGCCTAGTATTGTAAGGTCTTCTTCTTTTTTTTAACTTTTATTTATTTTTTAAGTAATCTCTACACCCCACATTAGGCCCAAACTCATAACCCCAAGATCAAGAGTCACACGCTCCACCAACGGAGCCAGCCGGGCGCCCCTTGTAAGGGTCTTACATGTGAAGCAGTGTATTAGGCAAACAAAAGCCAAAAATGGGGTTAAAATGAAATCATAAAAAATATTCAATATTTTTTGTAGTTTTTAAGTAGAGAAAGAATAAAAAAGAAAAACAGAAAAGACAAGTAAAAACAAACAGCAAGATGGGAGATTTAAACCCAACCATATCAATAGCCATTAATTACTATTAAGTAGCAGGGGCTGGAAACTCCTACTAAAGTAAAGGCCAGAGAAGAAATATTTAGGGCTTTGCCAGCCGTTCAGGCTCTCACACAACTCAAAGCCACCAGCATGCATAAAAGCAGCCATAAACATTAACAAGCATGGCTACATTCCAAGAAAGTTTATTTACAAAACAGACAGCAAGCCAGGTTTGGCCACAACCATAGTCTGCCTACCCCTGGTCTAAATATTCAAATTAAGAGGCACAGGCTGGCAGCCTGGGCAAACAAAGACAAGGTCCAATTACATGCTGCTGACAAGACTCTCACTTGAAATACAAAGTCACAGACAGGTGAACGGTAAAAAGACAGAGATGTGTCATGCTATCGCTAATCAAAAGAAAGCTGGAGGAATTACATCACCACCTCACAGAGCAGATTTCAGGGGTAAAAAAAGAATATTAACATGGACAGAAATTTACTTCCTAATGTAACAGGGTCAATTCATTAGCAGAACAAAACAATCCAAACATGTATGCACTTTAGAAAGAGAAAGTACATGAGGCAAAAACTGAACTGAAAAGAGAAACAGTCAAATTTAAATTTATAGTTGGAGACGTCAACACACCCTCTTCTTTCAGCGAATGGCAGAAAGCACACAGGAGTCAGGAAGGACAGAAAGCACCAAACACAATCAACCAACCCGACCCAACACCGACAGACTCTCCACCCAGAAGAGCAAATACACAGGAAATATTCACGAAGATCGAGCTTACGCAGAGCCATAAAATAAGTCTCGATAAACGTACAAGGACTAAATACAGTCTCTAACTAAAGCAAAATTAAACAGAAATCTGTAACAAAAGCGATCTAGAAAATTCCCAAATCCTAGAAATGAAACAACATACTTCTAATCCCTGGATCAAAGAAGAAATCAGGAGCAAAATCAGACAGCATTTCAAAACTGAATGAAAGTGGAAACAGGAAATAAAATTTGTGGGACACTTCTAAAGCAAAGCATAAGGGAAATTTATAGCATTAAGTACTGAGAAAACGAAGACCTAAAAAACAAGATCACTACAGCTCCTACAGAAAAGGAAATAATATGAACTTTATGCCAATAAATACTACAACTTAAGTTGAAATGGTTAAATTCCTCAAAAAACAAACTACCAAAGTCCCCCAAAAATTAGGTAACATGATAGCCGATATCTAGTCAAGAAACTGAATTCACTCTTAAAATCCTCCCGCAAAGGAAGACACGTGGGTGGCTCAGTCAGTTAAGCGTCTGACTCTCTATTTCCGCTCAGGTCAAGATCTCAGGGTCATGAGATCGAGTCCCCGCATGGGACTCCATGCTCAGCGGGGAATCTGCTTGAGACTCACCCGCTCTCTCACTCTCTGCCCCTCCCCCACCTCCTACCCCAGCCTTGCTCATGCTCTCTCTACATATATAAAACATAAAACTAAAAAACAAAAGCAAACCCTTCCACAAAGCAAACAAGAAACATTATCGGGGCGCCTGGGTGGTTCAGCCGTTTAAGCGTCTGCCTTCGGCTCAGGTAGTGATCCCAGGGTCCTGGGATGGAGCCCCGCATCAGGCTCCCTGCTCAGCGGGAAGCCTGCTTCTCCCTCTGCTGCTGCTCCACTTGCTTATATTCTGTCAAATAAGTAAATAAAATCTTTAAAAAAAAAAAAAAAAGAACAAACATTATCAATTTACAAAATTCCATAAAATAAAGAGGAAGAAACAACTCCCAGTTCATTCCATGAGGCCAGAATTACCCTGACACCAAACCCAGACAAAGATATTACAAAAAATTAAAACTTCAGACTACATCACTCAAGAATATAGATGTGAAGATCCCTGATGGAAATTTTACAAATCAATCCAACATATAAAAAGAACCAAGTAGCATTTCTCTCAGATACAGACTGGTTTAAGAGTTTATTTTTTAAAAAAGAAAATCAAACCACATTATTCACTGTATTAGACTTAAAAAAGACAATTATCCTGATACAGAAAAATCACTTTAACAAAATTCAACATCTAGTCATAATTTTTGCTCTCAGCAAGGTAGGAATAAGGGACTTGCTCAACCTGAAAAAGCGATCTGCAGAGAACACACGGCCGGCAATCACACCGTATGACATAATGAACATTCTGCTACTGTAATACAGCTTTCTTCAAAAAAATCTTTTTAAGATTCTATTTATTTGACAGAGAGAGAGCACAAGTAGGCAGAGAGGCAGGCAGAGGGAGAGGGAGAAGCAGGCTCCCCGCTGAGCAGAGACCCCCGATGCGGGGCTCAATCCCAGGACCCTGAGATCATGACCTGAGCCGAAGGCAGACGCTTAACCCACTGAGCCACCCAGGCACCCTGTTATTTCAAAATTTTTTAGAAAACCAATTCCAGGGGCGCCTGCGTGGCTCAGCAGGTTGAGCCTCTGCCTTCGGCTCGGGTCGTGATCTCGGGGTCCTGGGATCAAGCCCCGCATTGGGCTCCCTGCTCGGCAGGGGGCCTGCTTCCCTTCCTCTCTCTCTGCCTGCCTCTCTGCCTACCTGTGATCTCTGTCTGTCAAATAAATAAATAAAATTAAAAAAAAAAGAAAAGAAAACCAATTCCACAAATGGTAAGGGTACAACTGAAACCCTTATACAGTACTGACAGGAGTGCAGAATCATACATCAACCATTTCCTATAAAACTAAAGAGATATTCACAAAAATACTTTCATAAGGAGAAACGTATTCATAATAACCAAAAACTGGGAACAGCCAAGGTGTCCACCATCAGAAGAAAGGACCAATAAACTAATCCATCCATGTAACAGAATACTGTAACCACAGAGAATAATCTTCCACAGGAGCACATATAACTCCACTTACATAAAACTGTGAAACAGGCAAATCTAATTTATAGTACAAAATTTCAGAACAGTGGTAGCCAGTGGGGTGGGGACAAGGACTGACAAAACAGGGCTTGAGGAAAACTTTCCAAAGCAATGGAACAGTCCTATATCTTTTCTTTTTTAAGATTTTACTTATTTATTTATTTACTTGATAGAGAGTGAGAGAACACAAGCAGGAGGGAGAACGAGAAGCAGACTCCCCGCCGAGCAGGGAGCCCAATGTGGGGCTCGATCCCAGGACTCTGGGATCACGACCCACGACAAAGGCAGACGCTCAACCCAATGAGCCACCCAGGTGCCTCAGAACTGTCCTGTATCTCTACGGGAGACTTGTATTACTGGAGGACACGCACATCAAAAATCATCATTTGGAGAAACTTAAGTGCATTTCACAGCATATAAATGTCTTTCCCCCAGGTCACCTGGGTGGCTCAGTGGGTTAAGCCTCTGCCTCCCGCTTGGGTCATGATCTCAGGGTCCCGGGATCGAGCCCCGAGTCAGGCTCT